CCCTCCGCATCTGCCTGCAATGGTCGGCTTCGCGCGTTGCTTCCATAAGTGTAGTTTGTCGTGTCGGGCCCCATCCAGCTAAGCCTCCCAAGTCTGCCAGATATCGCCGGCATCGGACGTCATGATTCCCAAACTGTACGTGATCGTTTCGGGTTCAGCTTCGCGTCCCACATCTACCCGAGGTCGCTAGCTCCGCACGCACTGACTCCTGCATGGTGGCTGACCGCGCTGGGCACGGCGCCGGGTTGGAAGGCGGGCAGGGTGGCAGGTGGGCCGCCAGGAAGGCCGCGTGGAAGGGCGTCGGGGGGGTGGTCGGGCGGGCCGCCGGTCACGACGCCGGGGACGGCGCAACCTGCCGCGGCAGCAGCACACGCGGCGGCCGCGACAGCCACGCGCGGCCAGAGCCCAGCGGCGGCCGCGCCGCGGGCGGCGCCAGCAGCGCGCGCGGCGCGGGCGGCGCGCTCAGATCACGCGGCGACCGCGAGGCCGGGAGGGCCACCGTCGCCGGCGTCGCCCGGGGCGCGGCGGGGGGCTGGCAGAGAGGAGCGAGGCCTCGTCCCAGCAGCCCCCGGGCGAGGCGGAGGCGGGGGCCGCTTCCGGCTTTGCGGCGCGCCGCTGCGGTTCCCTTGAGCCAGACCTCTGGACGCTCGAAGTGGGTACGGAAAGAATGGGTACAATGCCCAACAGCAGCTCCTGCTCATGTGGCACAGGACTTGCCGTCCGCGCCGCGGCGGCCTGTGCCCATTTGAGACAGAAGGCCGCCTGCCGAGCAGCGGCCGCTGTTGGTTTGGGACAACATTTGTGATTGGGCATTGCACCCATTTGCATCGCTCGGGCGTGTGTATTTCTTTTGCGAGAAGAAGCGAGGGGCATGATTGGTCATCTGGCGGAAAAAAGGGGCACGCACGAAACCGAAACATGCACGAGGAATGGACGTCCGAGCGATGGCGAGAACATCGATCTGGGACGAACAAGAACACCCCAGGGGAAGGGGTCGGGACGTCTGGGGCCGCGCACGGAACAAAAGACACAACACATCGTCGGTTGTTTGGAGGGGGAAGCGGGCAAGCGGGGTGGTGCGCAGCTGACCACTTGTGACAGGGGGGCCCTGACCAGGCGAGTTCGGTTCATTCAGGAGAGGAGAAAACACACAGACACGAGTAATCCTCGATCCCCCAGAAAATATGGGAAAATATGGGAAGTGGGGGGGAAGATAGAAACTCAGAAAATATAGGAAAACATGAGGAAAATTGTTATTTGTGTGTATTTATTTGTGTGTCCCAGGGCCCCTTCACTCATGCCCAGCACAGCCTGCCGGACAGCGCCGCGGCCCGTTCTGGCGCGCGCCAGCTGAGCATCGGACGAGGCCAGGTTCAGGGCTTCAGCGGGGGGGGAGGCATCGACCCGCCATCGCCCACCCATCGCCCACGAGGGCCGAGGGCCCGCCCCGCCCAGGAGCGTGCAGGCTCGCTATGGGGGGCCCAGCGCCGATCTGGAGGCGGTGTGCCGCCGATCCCAGCTCGAGGCCTCCTCCCCTCGAGCCGGTGCCCCCCGAAGGTGCTTTCTCAAGGGAGAGGAGGGGGGAAGGGGAGAGAGAGAGAGAGAGGGGGGCGCGAGGGAGGCGGGGGCGGAGGTGGCAGGCAGCAGTCCCCGGCACTATATCTGACAGCATGCTTGTCGAGCCGAGGTTGGTGAGGCGGGCAAGTGGGGCAGCGCGGGCTTGCGCACAGCCTCGAAGCTCCTCCCTGTAGGTCCTCCGCCTTCCCGCGCCACCCCTCGCGCTCCTGAATCCTCCACCCGCCCACCCCAGGTCCTCCTCAGAGCAGTCTCGTGTGAAATCCGAATAGGGTATCGACCACGGCCCCGTAGTTGCGTTGCTCGTCGGATCCAAGAAACAGGCATATAGCTCGTAGACGTACGGAACACTCCGCATACGCATTTTCAGCAGATTCGACGAACATGCCAGCTTTGGGGTACATCAATGATGTAGTCTTAAGGCGGGCCTGTCCTTCTACAGAGGAAACATTCAAAAATTGTAAGAAATAGGCTGGGGACGATGGTTTGAGTATGTTTGGGCATTTGTAATTAGTATTTGTTTGACTGTGTTTTAAGTTTTTGCCCGACATCCCCCTGTAGGGGGACAGGCCCGACCTAAATGTTCGGGGGAACGCAAGACCCGAGTAAGTCGGAACTCTGGTTTGCCGACGTTTTTTGACGAGCGCGTCCTGGATTTTGACGGTCCAGTTTTCGTGGGATGTCTGCAGCGGGAGCTCGCGTCAAGTTTCAGATTGGGCCTCGTCGGTTTTATGATGGCCCCGTCGGGCCAACCCGAGTCCCCCGTACCCGAGTCTTACGTCTCCCCCAAATGTAGTCGACCCCCTACTCGAAGCACGAACAGGCTCGTCAGCAGTCGCGCGGCCGCAAGACCAGAGCACGAGGCAGAGCAACGGATGGAGTGCCTCGGCGGCACCGGCCGCGTGCTGGCCGTCGCGTCACCGCTTCGGCCGCAGCCCCTACAGTCGGGGCCCTGAAGAAGGAACCCTTTTCGTTGGGGAGGGGCTCCGCGTTCCTTATGTGTTTCGCAGCTTGCCTCAGGTTTTCCTTAGTTTTCGATCGGAAATCGAAGTTCAACTTATGGAAAAAAGAGGCCTCGTTCCTTATTTAGGGTTCCTTAGGTCAGCGCCCCGACTGTAGGGCAACGATAGGGCTATGATGTTCCAAATTACTTTGGCATCCACCATCAGACAGAATGTCGAGCTCCAGAAAAGTAAGTACCGAAACTCGAGGGTTTTCACGTGGCGGGCCCTGGGAGACCTTCGTCCGACATTGCTTCGACACTCTTTCGACACTTTTCCTGGTGCTCGAAATTATTTCTGGGATGTGGTCCTTAAGTACGATGGGAGCAACATAACCCCAATCGCCCACTCATCCCGATAAGGGCCTCATAGCCTACCCCGCCCAGGAACGAGTAGATTCGCTATCGGGGGCCCATCTCCAATCTATCAGCGGTGTATCGCCAGTTCCAAGGCAATCCCCCACTTGAGCCAGGTTCCCTATCGTTCCCCCCCTCAGCGCCCAGAAGGTCAGGGGCAAGAGGACGAGAATCATGAGGAGGATAAGGAAGAGGACTCCTCCTCCTCCTCCTCCTCCTCCTCCTCCTCCTCCTCCTCCTCCTCCTCCTCCTCCCCCGCCCTCTCAGAAGGCAACCCCCCTCGCGCCCCCCCCCAACTTCCGGCGTGCTCCTCTGCCTTCGGCGGTGGTGGGCAGCAGGCGTGTCCCCTGCAGGAAAGGGTGCGCTTTTTGTGGTGTCCCGCGTCCTGGTTTAGCCGTGTCCTGGTCTCCGGGGGCCTGGGGATGCCCCTGGGCGCGTCTGCTCGCGCGTCCTCATCTTCGACGAGAACTGGCATCATGAGGGGGGGGGCCCAGGGGGGGCCCCCGCCGAGCGCACGGCGGCAGTGCCTGGAGCGCACTGGGGGGGGAGGGGCGTTGCGTTGTACGGGGAGGGGGGGAGAGGGGGGGCCGGGAGCTATAATGCCCGCTATGCCCCAAACAATGAAGAACCACGCTCAATGAAGAACCACGCTCTAACTGCAGGGGAGAGGGGAAACAGGGACAGTACGCGAATACCGTACGAGAGGGGAGGGCAGAGGACGGAGAGAGAGAGAGAGAGAGAGAGAACATGGGAAGGTGGACGGTTGGAGAGAAGAGTTAAAAAGGGAAGGGGGCATTGGCGGAGGGAGGGGGAGCGACCTCTTCTCCTCCTCCCCCGTCTTCCCAAAGCTTCTCCCACGATCAACCTCCTCCTGAGAGGAGGAGGAGGAGGAGGAGGAGGAGGAGGAGGAGGAGGAGGAGGAGGAGGAGGAGGAGGAGGAGGAGGGGGAGGAGGACGACGACGACGAGGAGGAGGAGGAGGAGGAGGCGGCGGAGGAGGAGGAGGATAAGGCGGAGGAGGAGGAGGCGGAGGAGGAGTATGCTCCTGCTCAGCATGAGCAGTGGCCTCCTCCCTTGCACCGCTCTCTGTGTGAGCGGGGCGCCGGCTCTCCCACCCTGCTCTTGCGCACGGGCTCCAAGTGTTGAGTCGGGCCTGGCCCTCTACGGGAGGAGCGCTCAAACATCGGCAAACATAGTCCGGGGACGACTTTTCGTCTATTTCCGAACAGTTTCGGCGTATGTTTGACTAGTTGTCATCTTTGGCCCAGAATCCTCCCGTAGGGGGACAGGCCCGACCTCATCCAAGTGTGGGCCTGTCATGTGTTGTTTCGATCGTCACGCCTCTGCGAGTCAAGGCGATGCTCCTGGTGCAGCGCCGGCCTCATTTCGGGATCGCCGAGTGGCCCCCGTCGATCAGGATGGCGCTCTCGTCGCAGCGCGGGCAGCACTTCCGGACCGGAGTCGCGCCTCGCCGTTCCGCCTCCCCTGTCCCCTCCTCCGCCCTCCCCTGGTCCTCCTGCTCCTCCCGCTCCTCCTCCTCCTCATTCTGCTGCTGCTGTTCCTCAGCCTCCTGCTTCTCCTCCACCTTCTGCTCCTCCTCTTCCCCCTCCTCCTCCTCCTCCTCCTCCTCCTCCTCCTCCTCCTCCTCCTCCTCCTCCTCCTCTTCTGCTCCTCATCTCCTTCTCCTTCCTCCTCCTCCTCCTCCTTCTGCTCATCCTCCTGCCCACCCGCCACCGCCCCCGTCCTCCTCCGCTGTACGCAGCTCCCCGTGTTCTGCCCGCGCATGGAAGGATGGAGTCCGTGTGGGGGTTCTGGCGCCTCTGTGGCACCCTCGGCGGATAAAGAGGTCAGCGCGATGGGGAAAGATGGGCTCGAGCGCGCCTTGTTTCCCGTTCCTCGCGGCCTCTTCTTTCCGATCCTTCCCCTTACTTTCCTCTTCCCCCTACAGTTGACAATCCTATCCTTTTTCCTACGCCCTGCCCACCAGCCCTGTCATTCGACCCTCCTCCCATGCCCCTCCCCATTCCTCCCCCCCCGCCTGCCCCCCGCAGTTATGCCGCCTCGGGCAGGTCAAAGCTTCTTCGGGGGCGGCTTCGGGGGCGGCAGCTTCTTCGGAGGGAGCGGCAACAACAGGCGAGCCGGTCACCAAGAGGAGGGAGACAGGGGAACGAGTGGGGGGACCTGCTGCTGCTCCCTCTCCTGCTGCGACTCTCTGTGCAACCCTCCCTCGTGAAAACTCTTCTCCGCAGACCCCTCCTCCTTCTCCGCAGTCTACGGCGCCAGTTTGGTTCGAGGACGTCTCCAGCCAGCTATGAGCGTCGCATTGCCTACCATGTGCTCCCACCCGGTCATGTCAAACGCCAGGCTTAGCGTGCGGCCACTCCCTTTTTCATTCGGGTGCATTCGCAAGGTGGTGTAGTAGATCCTACTGTAAATGCTGGTTGTTATTGTAGTAATCCAGAAGCGAGCCCTTCGTTACGAACGCGCTGTTGGAGCTCTTCCCCCTGATGCCCTCCGTGGCGTTCATCATCATCATCCTACTCCTCCTAGTGCCGTGGCCAGTGTGGTTCAATGTGTCCGCGTTGCGTACACAACCAAGGGACAGCCATCGACACAACCATCGGGAAAACCACCGGACAGCCATCGGTACAAACATTAGAACAACAATCGGAACGACCATTGGACGGTCGTTTAGACAACCATCGAGACAGCCGTTGAGACAACCATTGGTGTTCCCAGAGTTTCACACTGTGCGCTCCCCCACGCGCCCTCCGAATCCCAGAGTCGCGTGGCCGAGGGCGCTTGTCTAGCGCTTGGGATCGCAGAGCAGCTTCAACGGCGCCCCCGCCCCCAGGGCGCGCACGTTGGATCCTTCGCCATCGTGACAGGTTCCGCCTGGCGCTGCAGAACCGCGCCACAGCCTGGTGTCCTCAGTCTCGGCGTTTGCCCATTCGCCCCGCTGGGAAACCATTACCCTTGCTCTGGTCAAAGCTCCCGCCGTATTCCTGTCAGTTCTGAAAACCCGCTCGGGCGGGTGGCTGAACGGCCATCGGACGCTCGTCCTGGGCCAACGCGGTTGAGCGTTTCAGCGCGAGAGGCGCGCCGATTACAGTTTCCATTGTTTCGCTTGTCCTCGCCTGACCACCTCCTTTCCTTGCGTTACCTCGCCCCTTTTCACCGAACTCTGTTATTTGATCGCTTCGCTTATCCCGCCGGCCCTGGAGCGCTCTTGGGGGCCTCTCGGGGGCCTCTTGGGCCTCCTTGGCGACGTCTTGGGGGCCCCTGGGGCCTCTTTGGAGGCTCTTGGGGGCCTCTTGGGGCGGGATGGGAGGTAGTCGATTGCAGCTCCCCCCTCGGAGGCCACGATCCTCGTGAGCGCCCTTTTTCACCCAATTCTGCTCTTGTGTCAAGTGGGTTGGGTGGGGAGGTCTACCGCAGCGTGTGTGCCCTACGTGCGGTTTCCACATCTGTGCAGCACTTTGGAACGAGGGGTACAGTGCAAAGCCCTGTAGTCTGAAGTCGGGCCTGTCCCTCCACAGGAAGAATATTAAAGAGTAGTCGAAAATAGTCTGGGGACGTTTTTGACATGTTTTGAATATTTGGGGGGTATTGCTTGACTAGTTGTCATTGTTCGCACAAAATCCCCCTGTAGGGGGACGAGCCCGACCTAAGTATAGTGCTAAGCTCTGTACTGTAGTACAGAAAGAAGCACGTGGCTGACCGCAAGATACGCGCGTCCTGCTTATCCAATTCGCAGTCCTCAACTTGTCGTTCCGCTTCCGCGCCTCCGTCCTTCATCGATCGTCGTGTTGTTGTATTCCCCGCTTCTGAACCAGAGCCCCTAGTTTAGCCGAAAGATCCTTCCGAGTCTCCCTCAGCGTCTTGCTATTCATCCTCATCCTCCTTGCCATCGTCGGTATCATCACCTTTTTTCTCTTCGTCCTGTTATTATTTCTGTTCGACATCCTTCATTCTTCCGTCTGCCGATTCACCGACGTGGAATTATCGCATGGATCCGTCTCTCGATTCCCAACTTGTGGTTCGGTGTTGTCAATAGCGTGTAGTCTTGCGCGCCTACTTCGTGAGCCATGTTCTGCCATGGTTGTCGTCATCGCTGGCCGTGCCATACGTCCTAATACTACCAACACCGTGTGCATCGTTGCTATTTGTTCCGCTAGCGTTCACGACCTCTCTGCCGCCTCCTCTTCCAGGTTGGGCTTCTAGAAGCCGCGCGCTCTCACTGCTGACCCCTATCTGAATGGCCAGCGCGCGATCTGATAGTGAGGCAGTCGCGCAGCCTTCCGAGCAGAATGTGCAGGCAGCGCCAGACGGAGGCCAGAGCAAAAGGGGACGGGGGAGGCGCAGGATGTCGGGAGGATCTGGCGATAGTTGCTTTGCCCAGGGTTGGCTGAAGGGTCTAACGGGAAGTGTGGAAGAGGAAGTTTGTCAGGTATGGGGACATGCGGAGAGAATGGAATCGGGGAGGGAGGAGGAAGAACGCAGGCAGGGAAGGGAGGCATTTGGATGCAGAATTTCTGTATTTGGGCCCCTCGATCTCAGATTCAGGGCAGGGGCTGGTGTTTGGGAGCCATCCGGCTGCAGCCTGGTCGGCGCTTCGACCTTCGGCGGAGGAGGTGCAATGGAAAAAGGAGGGAGGAGGAGTGTTGCGCTGCGGACCGCTGCCGGTCAAGCTTCCGGATAGATCCCCAACCAGGGGAGAAGGGAGAACGAGGAGGAGAAGGAGGAGGAGGAGAGGACACCAGTGTAAACCTAAGACGCAGCAACGGTGTTGCAATAAACCCTTCCCCCAAGTTTCCTCTTCATAGGCCCCAGAATGAATGAAATTACTGTCCTAGCGGGACGAGGCCCAAAATAAGGCAGTTGTCCGAGGATCCTCCCCCGTGCCAGCACAGCCCTGACAAAAACGGGTGGTCTGTGGCTGGTTTCGGCACTTCGCCGAGCACCGTGGCCCTCAAAGACACAACTCGGGGTGCAGTTTCCAGTCCCAGAGAACGGGTCGAGACTTCGGAAGGGCCGACGTGCTGACAAAATTACGACTTCGGAGGCCTGCGCACGGACGGCGCGTCGAGCGCCCCTCTGCGGAGGCGGGCGGGGGCGCTGGGAGCGCTGGCTGGCCTGCTCGAGTCTTGCGTGTCGCGATGGGGGATGGAGGGGTGCAGGACGGGGTCCCGGAAGGGCCCCTCCAGCGCCCCCGACGGTGCATGCAAGGTTCCCCCTTCTGCATCGAGGGCGGGGGATTGCGGAGCCCCTCGCCTTTTCGGAGGCTGTTTTCGCAGGGTCCTTACGATATCATTGTGCGCTCTCTGTTGCGCCTCCTCCTTCCTCCTCCTCCTCATTTTCCTCCTCTTCCTCCTCGTCTTCCTCCTCGTCTTCCTCGTCATCCTCGTCATCCTCCTCCTCCTCTGTTTGTTCTCCTCCCCCTCTCCGGAACAAAATATGCAACGCATCGAAACTAATGTCACGCTTTTCCAGGGGGAGGCGGAGGACCGAGACTCCTCGTCTTCCTCCTTTTTCTCTCCCTCCTCCTTCTCCTCCTCCTTCTCCTCACCGCTATCCACCCCCGCCCCCACCCGAAAGAAACATGGACACAGATCCACCTATGTTGGTTTAGTTGCCTTATTATTGCTATTCTTATTCTAACTCAGATTACTACTATTATGCTTGGTAACCATATGACACGTATTCTTATGATTCGTAGTCTTGTTTTTTTTATTGTTATTGTTACTATCCGTGAGTGCTTCGCCCCCTACCGCCGGCCCCCCCTCTCGGAGAATGGGCGATGCAAAAGCTAGATCATGAGGCCTCGGCGCCGCCGTGAAGCAGCATCGGCAAAAGAAATTTAGATTATGATGATATTGCTTATGGCTTCTGGGACGCGAATACAGCGTAAACTTCACGTAATCTAGAAAGGAGTGATTTCTTCGGAACCGCGAGTATGATATAAGTTGCGCGGGAGTCTGGCTTCGGATATGCGAGTAGTGCGTAATGTGCACAGGTGTATGGCTTCGGGGTCGCAAATATAATGTGCGTTGCGAGTTGTTATGGCTTCGGAGACGCAGCTACTGCATACTTGTCCCAGGTTTATGGTTTCGGAGACGCGGATACGGCGTAAGTTGCAAAGGTTCATGGCTTCGGATGCGAGAGCGCAGCATAATGTGTGAAGGCTTAAGACTTCGGAGACGCGAATATCGAATAATCGTTCATGGTTTATTGCATCGGGAGCGCAAATACGGCGTAAGTTGCAAAGGATTGTGGCTTCGGAGACGCGAATACAGTGCAACGTACGAAGGTTTATGGTTTCGGTGACGCGGATATTTTAAGGGCGTTTGTGGCTTCGGGGACGCAAGCATTGTGTAATTTTCAAAGGTCCATGGCTTCGGGGACACGAGTATTGTGTATTGTGAGAGGGTGTATGGCATCGGGGACGCGAAGATTGCGTAAGTCGCTATGGTTGATGGCTTCGGGGACGCGAATATTGCATAATTTTAAAAAGGTGTATGGCTTCGGAGGCGCGAATTCCATATATTTCTACGTGTTCCACACCCCCCAGAAATTTTGCGACCCCTCACGGGTGTTGCTAACCAGGGTGCTGGTCGGTTCCCCCCCCTCGCGCGGTCTACAACAAGGAACGGTCAGCACTAATAAACATAATTGTAACTGCGGAAACTGGAAACTGGAACTGGCGCAGGGAACAGCCAACCCTCAGCTTACAGTCTGGTGGCCCCACAAGGGGGCGGGCGGATTTTGGGGGGCGGGGAGGGAAACAACCTCCTTATCCTTCTCTTTCTCAATCGCCCCCTCCTCCTTCTCTTCCTCCGTAGCCCCGGCGAAGTCAGCAGCCTTGCTAGGCCTTGCTAAATCGTGCTTAGCACTGCTGAGCCCTGCCAGTCTCTGCTAAGCCCTGCTGATGAGTCCTGCTAGCCCGTGCTAAGCCCTGCGCAGCCTTGCTGCCAAGTAACGTTGAGAAGCCCTTTCTGGCGGTCTGCAAGGGCACGATGTGCCCCGCTAAACTCTGCCAAGCTCTCAGAATCCATTCGAAGCATTGCTATGTCCTGTTAGGCCCCGATAGGCAACGCGAGATCCTGTCAGACACTGCTTAGACGCCCCCTGCCATGGTAAGCCTTGCGAAGCCCAGCGACACCGGCTTAAGCCCTGCTCCGCCCTTCTAAGGTCGAATATGCCATTCGATACCCTGCTAAGCCCGTGCAGGCCCTGGTGAGCCTTGCCAGGCCCTGCGAAGCCTTGGTAAATTGTGCCCTGTCCTGAAGTGCTCTGCTGAGCCTTAAGATTGCTTGGTGAGCCATGCCGGGCTCTGGTAAGCCCTGGCCTTGGTGAACCCTGCTACGCTGTGCTAAGCTATGCCTAGCCCAGCCATGGTCTGCCACGCCCTGCTAGGGTCTGGTAAGCCCTGCTAAGACTGGCCAATCTCCGCTGCGCCCTGCGGGGTTCCGCAAAGATCCCCTTAACGCTACTGAGCCAGACTCAGTTTTGCTATGTCCTTGTGAAGCCTGCGACGCACCGCTAAGCCTGACTCAGCCCTTCGGGTGCCAGCTGCGCTCGGCAGAGCCATGCTTCTCTCTGGTGAGCCAGATTTTCCGCTACCAGGCACTGCTAAGCTCTGTTCGGCTCTGATATGCCATGCTGGGTTGTGATAGGGCATGATTGGTCATGCGAGGCCCCGAAAACCACGCGATGGCATGCTACGCTGTGATATGCCCTGTTGCCCCGCTCTCCTGAGGTAAACTAGGCCCTGCCGAGCTGTGATGAGCCTTGCGAGTCCCTGGTACACAATGCTAACTGCTGCCAGATATTGCCAAGATGTGCTCGGTATGGGTGCACCTTTCTAAGCAGTGCTAGACTCTGCTCAATTCTGCTGAACCTTGCGGCGCACGGGCACGTCCTGCTAAGGCCCTGCTGGGGTCTGCTAAGCGTCCCAGGCCCTGCCGAGCCGTGCTAGGTCCTGACAAGTTTGGCTTCGACATGTGTAGCCCTGCTAAGACATGCGAATCCCTGCTGAGATCTGCCAGGCCGATGCGTGCTCTGCTAAGCACTGATCGGGTATGCCACGCCGTCACGCCCTGATCGGCTCTACAGAGCCTCACCAGGGCATGCTGGGCACTGCGAAACCCAGCTAAGTGTTGTTATGCCTTGCAACGCCTTGCAGAGCCTTCTGGATTATGCTACGCCCTGAAAGATTATGTTGAGTAGTGTTAAGCACTTGCAGGCCAGACCAGGCCCTGCCAAGGCGTGATGAGCCTTTCCAATTCTTGCTCAGACCTGCTGCCCACTGCTATGCCCTCTTAGCTGTTGTAGACCACGCTCGGATGGCATTCGAGTGAAGATACGGGGCCAACATCCTTCCATGAAGAGTGGGACGAACGAGAATGGACTCAAAGCTTTCTCGCCCTCCTCGTCCTCCCCCCCATGCTCACGAACCGTCTTCGTCTTCCTCCTTGGTGAGTGCTTTCGTATCGAGCTCCCATTTGCCAGGATACCATCAGAGGGTCCGAATGTCGAAAAAATGCCCCCCCGGGCATGGTCCTCGAAATTCCAACCCCATGCAGTCTGGCACAGGGTTGGGATTTCGAGGACCATGCTCGGAGAGGTGTTGTTTGCGAAGAGACTGGCGAAGAGTGAGCGAGGGAGAGAGAGAGCGAGCAAGAGAGAGATTGAGGGCAGATGCGGATCACGAGAACGAGAACAAAACAAGCTCGAACACATTCTGAACAAGCACGACATCCCTTTTTTTGACCGCTCTTAACGGCGAGGGGCTCCACAATCCCCCGGCACCTCTCTTCGTGCCCCCCCTCGTTACGCCCGCCCCCATCGCCCATTCGTCGCCGCTTGGGGCCCGGAGGAGCCAACACCGCCCAGGAGCGCGTGGTTTCGCCATCGAGGGCCTACGGTCAGGAACGTTTGCTTCGCGTGTCGCGCCGCCTTCTCTTGCCCACCACGCTTCGGCGCGACACGCAGGCCACGTCCCGGTCCCCGAGCATTGGCGGTCCAAGCCTTTTCCAGCCTCCCGCCCGCCCCGCGGAGCGGAGCAGCACGCAACCCACTTGCAGGGCAAAGGGTGCCACCGGGGCCGCCGCCGCGACACGCTAAGAAAGCGCTCTTGACCGTAGAATGCCGCCTGACGTCTGAGAGTCCCTGTCAAGTAGAAGCCTCTGAGAGGGGGCCCGTCCCCTCTCAGAAACCTCTTGGCCTCTCAGGAGCCCCCCCGAGTCCCATCCCTTTTTGCGAGGCGCCTATGCGGGCTGGATGTCCGACGCTTGGATTGAGGCATTGGTCGAGGAAGAGAGGCTGAAGCAGATGCAGGGAGGAGAGGGAGGAGAGGTAGGATGAGCAGGGAGCGTCTGGTAGCAAAGCACGGGAGCCTCGTGTGTCCTCGTAGTTCCGCCTCTAGGGTGCCTCAGCGTGCGTTGGCGTCTGGGTGAGTTCGGTCCGTTGGCGCATCGAACCGCAGATATCCTACGCAAAACGAGGTCTCCGGCCGCCGCCAGAACCCGAGAGGTGTCGACCATCGGGGCGCGGGGGGGGCATCGTATTCCAGAAATCCGATGCACCAGCGGGGTCCCCCCCTTTGGTGGACCCCGAGACGTCCTCGCTTCTCAGGGTTGGGTTTCTTGTGGCAGCTTTCTTGCGGTCGCCGCGCTGCCGCGGGTGATCGGCCCGGCGCGTCGGAGTGCATCCTGACTGATTGCGGCCTTGCATCCCTTACGAACGCGTAGGCAAATTCAGAAAATCCAAAATGCAGCGTGCCCATACAAGCATGCATGCACTTACGATGCGGCGTAAACGCAAGCTGCCCGTTGTTGTCTGGGGCGCCCCTGGCGCCTGCGGCTCGCCCAGTTTCTGGGAGCGCCGTCGCCCAACAGTAGAACCACGTTTGCCATTCTCCATGTTTCTGGTATGTCCTTTTCTGTCCTGCATCAGCAGGAAGCAGCCAGAGAGCATCCTGGGTCCTCGAGAGCATCCTGGGTCCTCAAGACACAGGACAGCAGCCAGAGAGGGGGGGCTCTCGGGTGTGCCCTCGCGGCGAGTCCTCAAGAGTTGTGTCGGGCCTGCCCCTCTACAGGAGGAATATTCAAAAATACGGCAAGGACTAGTCTGGGGCAGATGGTTTGCTTATTATCTGACCGTGTGGGGGTACTTTTGAGGGGCATGTTCGATGCTTCGTCCAGAATTCCCCTGTGGGGGGACATGCCCGACCTGCCTCAAGATGGGATGTTCCCCCTGCCCTCGCTCTCGGCGCCCCGGCCGCCGCCGTGCCAGCTGTGCAGCTGCGCAGGCGTGGCAGTGTGAAACACGCTGTCCCTGCGCTCCTCCCCTGCTCCGCCCGTCCTCCTGCTCGTTTCTCGCGCCCGCCGAGGCTTGGGCAGCGAAGGGACGGCCGGGGTCCCGGCTCGCCTTGTCACCGTGTCTTCCAAGTTCCGCACCTGCGTGGGGGCAGATGTCAGGAGGAGGGGTAAGGAGGAGGAGAAGGAAGAGGAGGAGGAGGAGGAGGAGGAGGAGGAGGAGGAGCATCAGGAGGACAAGATGCCGAAGGACGACGACGAAGACGAGGCCCACCCCACGCGCGGCATCGTGACACAGCTGGCCTGCGCACGCGTCCGTTGCACGTCTGCCCCGCTCTGGAGCTGCCCGCCTCCGCATCCGCCGCACCCACCCAGCCGAGGCGTCACACACCGCCTGCCCCGATCGAGTCCTGCACTCCTGCGGACGAAGAGGAGACTGGGCGGGAGGCGGCACGGGAGAACCTGTATCCCTTGAACTGAAATGCAGGACACCTGCATAAACCAAGAGAGGAAAAACCACCCAGACCGGACGATTGGCGTTTCCAAAACGGCCCTGGGCGTTTACGCAACCACCCTGCCCTGCTCGCTTCCCTCTTTGGGTGCGTTTACCAGACGGCTCCGCGTGTCGGGGTGGTTTCTTTCGGGGTGGATGTTCTGCCCTCCAATAACAACGCATTGCTGGAGGCCCGCGCGGCTCTGCGGATTCTGCGGCGCCGCCCGCCCCCCCCAAGCGGCGCCTCCAGCGCCGACCCCTGCGGGCTCCGCGCATCGGGCAGTGTGTGCGGAGCGCCGAGAGGTCGTGTGTGCGTGTGTGCGTGTGTGCGTGTGTGCGTGTGTGCGTGTGTGCGTGTGTGCGTGTGTGCGTGTGTGCGTGTGTGCGTGTGTGCGTGAGCGCGTGAGCGCGTGTGCGCGTGTGCGCGTGTGCGCGTGTGCGCGTGTGCGCGTGTGCGCGTGTGCGCGTGTGCGCGTGTGCGCGTGTGCGCGTGTGCGCATGTGCGCGTGTGCGCGTGTGCGCGTGCGCGCGTGTGCGCGTGTGCGCGTGTGCGCGTGTGCGCGTGCGCGCGTGCGCGTGCGCGCGTGCGCGCGTGCGCGCGTGTGCGCGTGTGTGCGTGTGAGCGTGTGTGCGTTGTGTGCGTTGTGTGCGTTGTGTGCGTTGTGTGCGTTGTGTGCGTTGTGTGCGTTGTGTGCGTTGTGTGCGTTGTGTGCGTTGTGTGCGTTGTGCGCGTTGTGTGCGTTGTGATGGGGCGCGTTGGCTGGTGGGACCGGTGCCGGGGCGGCGCGCTGGCTGGCGGGCTGGCTGCGCTTGCTGGCTGGGGAGGGGTGCGGAGGGCCGAGGGGCTGGTTTGGCATGGTTGCTTTACAAAGTGGATGCGGAGGGGGCACGCTGGGAGGTGGGGGCCTACTCCACATCCCTTATTGAACGGCCCCCCCCCCTAAATACCGGCCCCCATTTGCTCCGGCACACTAGTACTCTGGCCCCCCCTCCACGGGAGACGCCTTAATATTCCGGCCCCCCCTCTGGGAAAGTTGTGCGTTGTAGTTAAGCTGGTGGACATGATGGGACTGTAGGTACACAGGGGTGACTGCATTGGTGATCAGAACTCGGTCGGCTTGCGACGTCGACAACACTTCTGATCAATACGGTGAACACCATGCTCGTGCATGTGATGTTGTGGTGCAGGCGCCATATCTATACATTTATACGCCACACACACGCACATATTTTCATGCATATATATACATATATGTATTATGGTTGCGATTGCGGTTAATTTCAAACTTGTTGCCCAAAATGGCCATTCAAAAAGCGCCGTAATTCTCCGGCCCCCCCTTCGCTTCGGTCACGCGAAATCGCCTTAATATTTTGGCCTCCCCCCCTTTGGAAAAAGGCGCCTTAGTATACCGGCCCCGGGGGCCGCTTAATAAGGGATGCGGAGTAGGAGCAGCATCGACCGGTGCCGTGCCGAAGCAATTGGCAAGCGTGCCATGGCTCGTGCACAAAAAGGGAGGGGGAAAGAGGAGGAGGAGGAGGAGGCGCAGGGGGGGAAAGAGTGGACGAGAAATCGGAGAAGGAGTGCCCACAGACGGCCGCAAGAAGGGCGTCAGAGGGCGTCTTCTCTCGCCCCCTCCTCCTCCTCCTCCTCCTCCTCCTCCTTCTCCTCCTCCTCCTCCTCCTCCTCCTCCTCCTTCCTACTCCTCCTCCTCCTCCTCCTCCTCCTCCTCCTCCTCCTCCTCCCTCCTCCTCCTCCTCCTCCTCCTCCTCCTCCTCCTCCTCCTCCTCATCCTCCTTTTTCGCCTCCTCCTCCTTCTCCTCCTTCTCCTCCCCATCCTCCTCCCTCCGCCCTCTCCCCTTTCCTCCGGACCTGACTACGATGCATCGCCGAAGTGTCGGCGTCAGCGAGGAGCGGGGGATGGGGGCGGAGGGGGGCGGGCGCGGCGCCGGTGCCGTCGAGAAATCCCACCAGCCCTCTGGGAGCAGTTTCCTTTCCTCTTTCAAAGCCCTTCTCTTCAGGGCGGGGTACCCCCCCCCCCTCGTCTCCCTGTTTTTTGTTCGGGGACGGGGGCGCCGAAGGGTCAGAGCGCCTGAGATGGTTCAAGATGGCTCCACGAGAGCCTCCGATGCTTCGAGATGGCCTCCAAGATGGCTCAAGATAGCATAAGATGGCAGACAAGATGGCCCAATATAGCTCGAAATCTACACCCGAAATGGCCTCCAATATGTCTGAAGATCGCTCCAAACGCATGACGGTGTGGGCGGTGCGACGCCCAAAAAATAGCCGGGGCGGCAGGGGGCTCGCTGGGGGGAAGGGTGGGCAGAGGAGGAGGAGGAGGAGGAGGAGGAGGAGGAAGAGGAGGAAGAGGAGGAAGAGGAGAAAGAGGAGGAGGAGGGCGGTGGGGGCGGTGCGAGGCCGAAATCAAGTTGTCGGGGCGGAGGAGGGGCGGGGTCGGGGCGGAGGGGGGCGGGGTGCAGAGGGCACTGGGCGGCTGGGGAGGGGGGAAGGGTCGTGGGGGCGGGCCGGCGGGGACGGTGCGACGCCGAAATAAAGTGGTCGGGGGCGGAGGAGAGCAGGGTGGACAGGGCACTGGACGGGGGGCGGTGCGACGCCGAAATAAAGTGGTCGGGGCGGAGGGGGTCACGCTGGTGGTGGTGGTGGTGGTTGGTGTGGGTGGGTGGGTGGAGAGGCGGGAGGGGCGGGGTGGTGGGGGCGGTGCGACACCGAAATATTGTGGTCGGGGCGGAGGGGGGCGGGGTGCAGAGGGCACTGGGCGGCTGGGGAGGGGGGAAGGGTCGGGGGGCGGGACGGTGGGGGCGGTGCGACGCCGAAAAAAAATAGTCGGGGCGGAGCAGGGCGGGGTGGAAACTGCACTGGACGTGGGGCGGTGCGACGCCGAAATAAAGTGGTCGGGGCGGAGGGGGTCACGCTGGTGGTGGTGATGGTTGGTGTGGGTGGGTGGGTGGAAGGGCGAGAGGGGCGGTGCGCTGGGGGCGGTGCTACGCCGAATCAAGCAATCGGGGCGGAGGGGGCGGGGTGCAGAGGGCACTGGGCGGGGGGCGGTGTCACGCTGGTGGTGGTGGGGGCAGAGGGGGGCGGGGTGGACAGGACACTGGACGGGGGGCGGTGTCACGCTGGCGGTGGTTGTGGTGGTTGGTGTGTAAAGTGGTCGGGGCAAAGCGCTGGACTGGGCGCAGTGTCACGCTGGTGGTGGTGATGGTTGGTGTGGGTGGGTGGGTGGAGGGGCGGGGGGGCGGTGCGGAGGAGGCGGTGCGACGCCGAAAGAAGGTGGCCGGAGCTCTAGACACCCTGCGCAAGAGAATAAAGTCGCCGGAGCTCGAGACACCATGTGCAAGGTATTAAAGTGACACTAGGTATTGTTGTTGTATTTGCTAGTGTCGAGGCGTGTTCTCCATAGCGCGCCAACGCGCCGAATGTCACGACACAATCATTGCATCGAGCAGCCCTGGCAAGACGAAACGGACCAGCAAGAGGAGCTAGACGCAGAGAGGGGGAGGATTCGGGAGGAGGAGGGAGGAGGAGGGGGAAAAGGGCGTCGGCTACCCTCTCGCCAGACCGTCGGGTACTTCGGGCCCTCTTCGTCGCCGTCGGCAAGCTCTGCGTGGCTCTCGCCCCTCTCACGCTCTGCTCTCTGCTGCTCCAGTCCCTCCTCCGTGGGGGCGGGTTTTCCCCCCTCCCCCGTTGCCAGTGCTTCCATCGTGGGCTATCGTCCACCTGTGCAGGGTTCCCTCTGCCGCTGGGCCGACGCTGGTGTCGGCCCACACGTGGTGTGCAAACTGGGGCTTCCTCTCGTCGTCGTCGCCGTCCCCGTCCCCGTCCTTGTCGTCGTCCTCGTCCTCGTCCTCGCCGCCGTCGTCGTCGTCGTCGTCGTCGTCGTCGTCGTGGTCGTCGTCGTCGTCCTCGTCGTCGTCGTCGTTGTCGTCGTCGAGTCCGAGGGTCTCGAGGACTGTCCTTCTCGAAAGTGCCCCTTCTATTGCGAAGGCCTTACGGCCGGCGCCGCCGACCCTGAAGGGGGACGGCGACGGCGACGGCGGCGGCGGCTGCGACGGCGACGACGCTGACGTCGGCCAGGGATGCTCTCGGGGTCCCTTGAGAAAGCTCTGACCTGCTCGAACCTGCCCCCTCTATTTGCCAGCGTCCTCCTGGTCCTCACGATCCCTCGTCCTCCGGCTCGTCCTACTTCTCTCCTCCCCCCACGTGTCACCATCATACGCATTCGCCACACTGTGCCGACCCGGTCGTTGCAGAGTCGAGGGCACGATGTCGTGCATGGAGGAGGAGGAGGAGGAGGAGGAGGAGGTGGTGGAGGTGGAGGTGAAGGCGGAGGAGGAGGAGGAGGAGGTCATGGAGGTGGGGGTGGAGAGGGGGCGGGGGGGATGTGGGGGGGGGGAGGAGGGGGGAGGGAGGCGAGGGGATGCGGGAGAGCGGTGGGGGGCGAGCCACGATGGGCGAAGTAAAAGAGGGCCCGCGACGGACGAGGCAGGGAGGCCCCTGCGTGCCTCCTCGCCGCCGCCTCCGCCTCTGCCACCGAGCTGCCGACGCTCCCCGCCTTCCTCCGACCTCCGCCGCCGAGCTCAGCCGCAGCCTCCCCCAGGGCTCTCCTGGTCCTTGGGGCGGCCCCTTCTGCGGGCGGCATGT